GTTGTACTCTGGGTTCCGAACTCAATGAAAAACTGACATCTGGAGTCCGTCACTTCATCTGAATGACCTTACCCGGGCTCCTCGAAAGCGGGTAAAAAGACGTTAGTCCAACTCAGCTCTGCCATACAGACAGTAGTGAGGTATGTTTGGAATATGCTTTATTTGATACAGAGGTTACTACGGGAGGTAACAGTCACGGCAGGTGTAGTGGTCCAGCATCGTGTTCCCCATGGAGCATTTGCGATGTGGGATAGGGGAAGATCTGTAATAGACTTTCACTGCGTAGAGAGGCCTTCACGAATGTGAGTGTAATAGATCCAGTGTGTTGTAAGCTGCGCGCACAGTCCCCCTCAAGAATTATTTTGTCCCTCCCCCCCGCGTCTCTGCTCTAAGCTGGGGGGCTGCAGGTGCAGTGTGCCGACAGGTGACGGGTTGGAGGGACGTTCTGCAATGGGCGGTCGATCAGTGTGAGTCAGGTTTAGTCACGCTGCTGATCTAGAAAATGGGATATACGCTCCTCGCATACAATTGGTGTCCGCGCCACACATGACCCCATACTCGACCCTCGTACAGTTGAATAATATGGTACTTGCATGATCAGGTTTGGGGCGCGTCAGGGACGTAAAGGAGGGGCGATTTTGGCGCTGTCGTGTAATGCCGTGTACCAGCCCCCTACACTTTTTAGCTGGAGGATGAGCCGCTCGAGCGCGCTGTCTTGTATGAGCTTTGCAATAGTCGCATGCGAGGTGAAAGGGGAAGGGAGGGATGACTGTGGACAGGAGATAGGGTATGCCAGCTTTGGAAGCGATGTGGCGAGGGTTATCGTACAACAGTGGTTGAAATAGGCATGTAAACGACGAAGCCTTTTACACAGTGTGTGTTGCAAGAGGTGGCGTTTCAAGCTTAACTTGGAGACTGGATTTCCTGGGAGAATTCATCTGCCATTACTAGCTGTTAATGAGGAATGTGGCTGGCCAAGCGTGTTTTGGTCGCAGGAGAATTGTCTGGGCGCAAGGCAGTGGATCGATATATAGAATATTATGTCGCAGGATTGTATGAAACGTTGAAGGAGAACGTAATGAAGGGGAAAAACTACAAGTGGGTGTGAACCAGCAAAAGAATATGTACAGTGGAGGGAGACACGAAAAAGCTTTTATCTATTATTTGTGAAAGTGATTGGACAAGTTTTGTTTCGCATAGAAGTTTGCTTTAGAGTATCCCATGGGCGTCGTACCGGGTCGCGAATGGGATGGTTTGTGTGAGCAAGTGATACGGGGTTATCCACAGGTTTATTGGACTATGATATGCCTAGGGTTATGGGGGTCGTCGGAGTGTGGCTGCAGTTGGGTAAGGGGTATGTCCATACACGGGGGGCACGAAGGGTTTCTCAGTAAGTGTGTCCTACACCATGTGGCGAGGCATAGCCTGGAATAGGAACCAGTTGTCTCAACACATCTTTCCTTTCTCCGCCTCGGGAAGTACCTACATACCCCTGTGTTAAGAAAACGAAAAGTAGCCGGGCCCGCACGGGCCGCAGGTCTGAAACCCACGACAAATCTCAAAACAAATCGTTGGGGGGAAATTCACCGCTGTAGTTAAATCTGGACGGTAGCTGTGCAGTGCTGATTTGAGTGAAGTTAACCAAACATGGCTATTTTACTGGACAAGCCGAAACGTCAGGTACACATACAAGAGTAGGCCGAAGACGCAAATAAAGTCTAGCACCACACAAAAGCAACTGCATGCAGCATAAAACATACGGTACACACATACAAATCCCCGTTATGTAACCGTAATAAGTAACGTAGCCCGAAATACTAGACCTTCTATAGGCCAAAAATTAGTTCCAGCTGGGATGATTTCGCACTGGGGTTGGGGGGGTGAACGCACTTTACGTTCAAAAACATGTTAACCGGTATCAAGGGGACCCTTACTAACACTGATATGTCTAATTCTGAGACCACCAATAATCAGTCAGTACACTGGGTGACCAAAAAGGGGAAAAAATCCATCACGCAAACATACGCACACTCACATAACTGAAGTTTTGGCCACTCGCCCGTGTGGTTATACAAGTAGGCATCTAATCTCGACTAATCCTCATTTCAAACAAACGCGCACACACACACAGGTCTGGACTCTGCCTCATCTCTGGAAATCCTAAAGAGCCTGTCAATGCTGGCAGAGACGGGCCGAGCAGTTGTGGTCACCATCCACCAGCCACGCAGCGAGATATTCCACTCGTTTGACAAGATCCTCCTGCTGTGCCGCGGTCAGGTGGCCTTCTTTGGCTCCCCCATCAAGGTCTGGGACTTCTTCACACGGGCTCTCAACTACGAGGATGAGTCTCTGGTGAGTCAGGTTGAGGGTTTGCATATATCGATAGCACAATTGACAAACACAAGATGATATATAGTTCTACATTAGTATACACATAGCTGGAGTTATTTTTGCTGTAATGATGATCTTTGAGCCTATAGAGCTTTAACACTTGCGAGGACTATAGGTGATTTTTGTTTACTCATTTATAATTTGTGTGGCTTGGTTTTATAAAGGTTGCTTTTCTCTCCCTCCACTACTCTCCATCTACTCCCCACACTACAGTCTGACTCAGGCTCCTCCACCAACACAGCAGACAGAATCCTGGACCTCCTCAAAGAGCAGCGGAGCCAACAGCAGGTGTTGCGCAAGTACCGCAGCTGCGGAGAGCCGACAAAGGTCAAGTGTGCCGTGTGGCGGGGGAAAGGGAGCGCAGAACACACACCTCTATCACCAGACAGGTAAGGCGTGACTTATGGCCTCAAATCCTCATGGCATAATTATGTGTACTTGTGTCAATCCACGAATAAAAGCTCCGTTAGTAAGAAGCTTCAGTATAGTAGGTGTAAAACAACTGATTTGCAAAAAATTTCTAAAACCTACAGTAAACAGTTTTTTCAACCCTTCAAAAGTTATCTCTCTCTCGCTCTCTTTGTCTTCAGTCGTAATCCTGGATTCTGGCACAGACTGGTGTCACTGGAGGCCAGGGCATCACTGCGACAGACTACATTCACAATCATCTACCTCCCCATTGTCTACCTCGTGTTTGGAACCATTCTCGGTGAGTATACATCTTCCAGGGTTCAGATGCATGCAGAAGTGTATTCATAGGATAATGCTGCTTGGAAGAAAGGGGGCACAAATTAAAGCACATGTATGAAAATTGGCAGCTGTGAATGATGTGTGAGCCCCGATAACATGCATCAGCTTCTGGTGTCCCTATTCCACAGGACAGTATGTAGCTTCAACAAATCTTGTTAGTACAAAACGAACTCGTACAAAACCCTCATGCACAAAGCAGTGCATGTGAATGGAAGCATCTAACTTCAAACTCCCAGTGCTGATTATCTCCTCTCGTCTCTCCTCCACATGTGTACAGGGACGACATACCTCTTCACCAACACACCGGTCCAGGTCATGTCCGTCACCTGTCTCCTCAGCTGTTCCTCCTCCCTCTTCATGAGCTCCATCATCATGTCCCTCCTCGTCGAACCCCTCAAGCTCTTCCGACTCGAACACTCGGACGGAATCTCCAGTGCCCACGAGCTCATCCTCCAGGTGTTTATCCGCATGTCCTCCATCTGTACTCTGCCCCTCGCCGTCTGTGCCACTTTAGTGTTTATGCTCGTCTACCAAAACTACTCGCTCGTGGTCTATGTCACGGTTCTCCTGACGTTTCTCCTCGTGAACCAATCCTGGCTCGCTATCTTCATACTGTTCACAGTGCTCTATCCGCAACAGGCGCACCGACTGTGCCCCGTTTTCTCTGCAATAGGTGGATTCTGCTGTCGGTTTCATCGTCCCTAAGCCTCTAATGCCCGTCTACTATGCCTGGATATTCTACATCAACCCTTCTTACTACGCCTACGCCGCGACCACCGTCACTGTGCTACACGACAATGATCTTGGAGGGTGTACTAGGGATTCGCCGCTCGAGTGTTTCCGAGTGTCCAGCGTGGCCGTTTTGGACTCTTTCGGGCTCGCCGAAGTCAATCCGATTCAGTACATGGTTATTCTCATGGGGATGGTCTGGGTGCTCCTGCTATTAGCCATCATTATACTGCAGTTGAAGGTGACCTACCCTGTCATAAAGGAGAGTCTGGAGCCGCTCTTCTGTTGTCTGGTCAATAGAAGGAAAAGGTGAGCCGGGATCAATTCCAGTATATACTGCCAGAATGCCTCACGGTCAATTTCAGAGGAATGGGGGAGGGGGGTGGTATGCTCACAGACCTGCTTTCCACAGGGATTTAGGCCTAATGTTGAAATTCCCTCATCAGCACTCCTGGTGGTGGGTAATGGTTGGTAACTTGTGCCACTTAAAGTTTTGCTCCTTCTGTTCTCGTGTGTGACCAAGCCAAGCGTTCTTGGAGTGTTTGTTTACACTCAGCTCCATGCAAACTATGCTACATACATGTAAAATGAGAATTATCAGCCCTACATTTTTATTTTAACCCTATCTTTATTACTCTGTGTCAATCTCAGACGCAGGCAGGTTCACTCATCGGAGGCTCTAGGACTGGTAGAACACAACCCTACCTGCTCACTCCACCTGCCCAGCTCTGACCTCGCCTCGCAATCGTCCGACTCCAAACCCCCCAATTACAACACCGTAATTGACCTTGAGGCAGCAGACGGCCCCTCAAAACCGGGCCACGAATTGAACGAAACGCGACACCTCTAAATGTGTCTGCAGCACAAAAGACGGAGACAAGGACAGGGCAGTTTGTACTCACTTTCTTCTGGACGGAAAACACAAGGTCGAATTCGACTTTCCCTGGGAGCGACCTCAGCCTCCGGTAGTCGAAGACAGCGTTTTCGACGATGTGAACCAACCGACGGTCGTGGCTAAACAGGTTCTGCAGCCGACAGAACCGTCTCAGCCGATGCTGGATGCACCACAGACCAAGTGTGATGGTCAGAGTCAAGAGCCTACAAGTCCAGTCCGCAAACACGTGGTGCTGCGCCGAGGAATGAGCCTGGGTTTGGGATTCAATAGACACAGTACGGCAGCCAATCGGGGCAGCACGGTCTTCCAGAACACCCTCCTCCAGCACAGACACAGCGCCGTCGTCCAGCTCACGATGGACGAAGACGAGGAGGAGGGAGGGATCGACGAGGGAACGCGCCGGGAGCTAACCACCGAGAAGTGGAAACTGAGGAGACTGCAGATGGACATAGAGCTGAAGAGACTAAAGCACAACGAGGAACGAGAGCGAGTGAGGAGACACTCGGGGGCCTTTTTTCATCAGGCTCTGGACCCACATGACCAACAGCAACAACAGCAAAGCAATGGCCACATTCAGTTATCTCGTGCCGGGGCCAGCGCAAGCAACATTAGTCACTGGAAACCGTCGTCCGATCGCCGCGTGAACAGAAGCAGGAGCATGCAAGTGAGCAGTGGTCTACCAGCGAGCAGAGCCTGGTCAAGACTGAACGACCCACTGGTGCCCCCTCGCCTGGAGATAACACAAGAGGAGGAGGAGGAGGAGGAGGAAGACGAGGAGGCTGGATTAGGTCTGCCACCAAAGGACATCCCGTTCTTCGAGGAAAAAACTACTGCTGGGAGCATTGCCCTGGACATGAGCCAGATTCCAGTGGCCGAGATTGCTGAGAGCATTCCCTCCCAGAGCTCTGACCACAGCTGGAACACTGCGGGAGGACAAGACAGTGCATTTTAGACGGCCACCCGCGCGTTATTGTGTAAATTTTTCGTCTTCATTCACGATGATCAGTCATTATTTTGTGTTCTAATTATACGATTACTTCACCAAGAAATATTGAAAACTTCCACGAGCGCGGGGAAGAGAGTTCTGCGCCGTTACAAGTATGTCCTGCAAGCCAGTGGTCATTAGGGACGACGTCCTGAACGATCTCGCAACGTAAGAGCCTCGTATTACTCGGAGCTAGAGGTTTAGCTACGTATGTACTTCATGTTTTGACGAGCTCTTTACTCTGGGCAGTCGATTCCTGATCAATATTCCTGACGAGGACAAAGATGATCCTCTCAAGCTGTGCTCTCACATTGAGGTGAGCCACTGTATGCACAGCAGGCCATTATATGGAACACAAACATTGGCAGTGTGCTTTACTGTCACGTGGCCCCCTCCTCCCCAACCCCACATGTGCAAAATTCTACCACAGGAATCAGGCTCACACGTGTCTACCTGTGCCAGCCGTTCCGTTCCCTCTTCCATTTCTTCCTGCTGATGAATAGACATATCTATCTAATGCAGTGTCTCGGACAGTTCAACCTGACCTTACTGTACCATGCTATCTATAGCCCTAGCCCTATCTATACAGGTGGCTAATGCAGTGTCTCTCGGGCAGTTCACCCTGACCTTACTGTACCATGCTATCTATAGCCCTAGCCCTATCTATACAGGTGGCTAATGCAGTGTCTCTCGGGCAGTTCACCCTGACCTTACTGTACCATGCTATCTATAGCCCTAGCCCTATCTATACAGGTGGCTAATGCAGTGTCTCTCGGGCAGTTCACCCTGACCTTACTGTACCATGCTATCTATAGCCCTAGCCCTATCTATACAGGTGGCACACTGGTTCTATTTGGACCTCATACGGCCAGAAGACCCTGCCCTCCCTGGCTGCAGTATGAAGGAGTTTATGGCTACCAGTATCCTCCACCACAGTACACATCCTGGGTGACACACATCCTGGTTTATAGAAACATTCGAGGAAGAAACATTGTCGATTCAGTTCCAGATTTTACTTTTAAAAAGCAACAGTTGATTGCTTGTCCAACCGTGCGATACTTTTGCATTTGGTAGCACTTTCCCAAAAAATTGTAAGGGATATGAGGGTTAACTTAAGTTTTTAGGGGTGTGCTTGGAAAGTTATGGTGTATGTATGTACCTTGACTGGCCTCCCCTACAATTATAGTTTTCAAGCACTGTCCATTCCTAGTGAGAGACTCTGTGGCACGTGATCTGGACACCCTCCAGTCTCAGTGGAAGACACTCAAGTACCGCAGACCCACTCGCGGAGCCATCATTCTCAACCAAGACCTCACCAAGGTGGGTTAGCAGTGACCAGGTTTTCAAGGAGACTGCTCCACTTGTACCATGCACTCAACTGGCACCTGGAAAAAAAACCACATGGAAATTATATTGAGGGTTGCTGCACTGGATTCCCAACCACGTTAGTCTCACAGTAGATGTTGGCTCTTAAAGTTTTCTGCAAGATAATAATACTCGATGCAAGCTGCAACATTTTTGTTTTGTGTGTGGACAAAGACACAACTAAGAGTTCATTGCTTCCACAGTGAAGAAGAAATAGCAGGGTAGACAGACACTTTGTGTTGCCCAAAGTGAACTTCATTCATCTCCTACTGTTGTTGTTGTGTTGTTTGTTTGTTTGTGTTGTTATTGTTGTTGTTGTTGCAGTGTCTGCTGGTGCAGGGCTACCCGGCCTCCACATCGTGGGGGTTCCCCAAAGGTAAACTGGAGAGGGGAGAGAGCGATCAAGACTGCGCCATTAGAGAGGTGAGCTCCACCTTCACTCCCACCCATCTCACCCACGAAGTCGGGGGGAAATTCAATGTGTGAATTTTGCCTGCCATCTCTAACCTTATTTCGCTCACCCTTATCTCGGTGTCCTTATCCCTATATCGCTGTGCTCCCTCCCTATCTCTCCTTGATATACATACATAGCTACAAGTTGGGATTCATGATAATGAAAGTGAGAGTGAAAGTCCTTACGTTTACTATATGTGTGTAGGTCTATGAAGAGACAGGGTTTGACATTCGAGCACTCATTCGGAGTGAGCACTATTTGGAGTGTGAGTCGAGGGACAGCGAGCGGGCATCTCGGATGTACATTATTCCAGGGAGTCCCGGAGGAGACAGGGTTCAAACCTCGCGTCAGGAAAGAAATTAGGGTATGCATCCATAGCCCAGCAGAAAACGTGGTTAATCTATAGCTCTTACAATTTTTTGCAAATGCCTCAAAACACTTCCGTAAATTGGTTCATGGCAAAATATTTGGCTATAATGTATACTTCAGACATTGTGTGATGTTGTTCCACTGCAGGACATTCAGTGGTTCCGAGTGGAGGATCTTCCTCGGTTCAAGAAGGATCTCACCACCAGACAAAACCTCGGGAAGAACCCCAGCAGCTTCTTCATGATCATCCCCTTCATTAGGTCAGGGGCTCACCCATATGTATGCAGCCAATGTCCTGTTGTCTTTAAGGTTGTCCTAATACTGTATGCCAACATCCAGGAAAATTAATCCCTGAAAACCGAAAAGGAAGATTGCTGTGCTCTAATTAGAACTATTTTTGTAGTACATACTATTTGAAACCAATGCTGTGCAGACTACTGTGCTTTAAGTAGGTATACTAAACTCTGTAACTTTTGCTTACTTACACTTTTGTGTTCATGTATTTCCTTGGCCTCATGCATATCCCTGGTCATTTCAGTCAGCTGAAGAAGTGGATATCCAACTACCAGAGAGCCCGTGGTGTGGCAGGTGGAGGGAGGAAGACCACTCGAGCAGTCTCGGCTGCGTTTCCCAGGCCCTCTGCCCCTCTCCAGCCCACGAGGAAATCCTCAAACTCTCCCTCTCCCTCCTCCCCCCATCTCCCTCGGAGGACAGCTAGCAGTCGCACCGTAAACAGTGGACAGGAGAAAGCTTCCGCACAGCTACAAACACAGCCTCATTCCAGTCAACAGTCTACCCCTTCTATGAGAGCTGTTTCAGGACCTTCAGCCAGCAGTAGTACCACAAGAACTGCACATATTGGACAACAGAAAGGTTCTGCCATGCTACAAACACAGCCTCATTCCAGTCAACAGTCTACCCCTTCTATGAGAGCTGTTTCAGGACCTTCAGCCAGCAGTAGTACCACAAGAACTGCACATGCTAGACAGCAGAAAGGTTCTGCCATGCTACAAACTCAGCCTCGCGTTGTTGGACAGTCGCTACTTATCAGAGCTGTATCAGGACCTCCGGGAGGGAGATTGAGACCTTTAAACCCTGTTATCGGACAACTCGCGAGCGACGGACCAATAACCGACCGGAGTGAACAAGGGTCAGGGGTCATGCGGTCACATACTGTTCCACACCCTGTCCAAGGTCATCACCACCCACACGTCACTCCCCACCCGGCTCCCCAGCCTCACCGCTCTCTCCCACCTCCCCCACACCCCCTCGCCGCTCTGTGGCAGGCGCCAGCTCACAAGCATCACCCATCACACCCTCACTACACTCACTCTTCACCATTGGCACAGCAGCACCACTATGTCCCACACCCAACTTCTGCATTTAACCCTGTGGCTAATCAGCAATCCAATTCTTACTCAAAAGGAGCACCTGCCAGTAATTTTAACCCTTTTGCTGCTCTTGGTGTTTCGACGGCAACAACTCCACATGGAAGTTCAAAGGATGAAACTCGGACTGTCTCCACTCCATACCAGTGGAATGGGAATGTGACGGTGTTCAGGCCAGTGCAGGTCAAACTGAAGCCAGCCAAGTCATGGACTGGTTTCAAGTTTGACAAGCCCCGCATTTTATCAGCTATGTGGTCTGATATAGGCTGCTTCTGAACAATGACACTTCATTTGTATAACAATAGATTGATGTGCACATTTCTTTCGTTGTGAAGCTTTTTTATGGTATGCAACTTCGCTACCGGTACCGGTCGCTATTTCGTTGTCTCGTTGCGCATAGTCGCAGAAAACGTGGTAACAGATGAACGGACAGACACACACACAAGTACCGTAACCCTCGCTGCGCATGCACACCGAGCGTTAATTACGATTTTTCCATTCTTGCACGCACCAGAGTTGGAGAAAAGAGAAAGACAAATCAACCATCTAGTTCAAGAGTAGAGAGTATAGTCCAGCAGCACAAGTGTATTTCACATTTTTATTAGCTATATAGGATTTCAATAATCGGTGAAAGGGTTTCAGCCAACTCAACATAGCTAAATAAATTGGTCTCGGCAGAATATCTGCCAGGTGGCTTCTGGGGCGATTTGACACTCCTCCTCTTCACTCTTTCCACACTGTATGCTTGTGCAATCAAAACTTGACGTATGCTGCTGAGTACTAAGCTCTTGGCCAGGAAAGTAAGACACACAATCACCACTAGCTTTCATGGCTCGTGTGGTGTAGGCTAGTTCTGCTGAGTCTTGGCCTGCCTCACATGATGCTGCAACCTTCAGAAGAATGCCCTTCTCCCTGGCTGAGTGTCCACATGGCTTCACTCCCTGCTCATCCAGGAACTTGGCACACTGGCTCGCCCACCATCCTGAGGAATGACAGTCAGTGACTATGATAAGGACTCGACCACGGCTGTGCTTCATGTAGAGATCAGCAATGTCTCTGAAGGTAATGAAGCCATCCCTGAAACACCAGTCACCAGTGTCCCTCCGACCATTGCCATAGTAGTGAGTAGTAGTAGTAGTGTAGCTGGGATTAAAATATTGTGTAATTTTGGAAACGTGGAAAATAATATTATTGCTAACCATTTTCCCCTGAATTTTCGAGCACAAGCTCAATCTGTTTCAGTACGTGGCTGCAGCTAAGTTCCATTCCAGGTCTACTGACTTGGACTGGGAGCACCTCATCGGAAATCTTGTTGTAGAAAGCCCACAAAGCGTTGAGGTTGTTCCACTTGTCTGGAGGTATGCTTAATTCTGTCAGAACTTGACGATCGCCTTCAAACAGCTGAGGTGGAGACTGGGGGACTACTGAAGATTGCATTCTTCCAGTGGTGGTGTGGTTGAACCAATAATCATGAATGCTCCATGCTGAATTTAAGCAAGCTCACCTTCATGAACACAAAAGGAAAACATTGTCTTACTTTTAGAAATTTGAGTCTTTCTTCAAGTTCCATCATACTACCTTGCTGCTGCTGCTGTAAAGTCTCCGTTCCTAGAGAGATGTAATGTGCAAGCTAATTTTACTTTACAAGCTGGAGGTTTCTATAATAAGAGCAGAACTCTAAACAACGTCAGCCAGCAGGAGAGTAAGAGTGAAATCCCAGTACTCTGTCTCTGGTATACAGCATGTTGTATGACCAACCTTGGTTTGTTCCTCGCAGTAAGGATTGTGGGTGATCTATCACTTCCCCAGCGGTGGACCAGGTGGTGTCAGTGGATATTTTGCACTTTTTCTCCTCCTCCAGGCCACACCTCACCCTTGTGAAATCAACAACATATGTATGCTGCCTAGCCCCTGAGTTTTTTCCCTGGAGAATGATACACACATCCATGCTCTTCCAGTTCCATGGCTCGTGTGGTGAAGACTAGTTCTGCTGAATTTGGCCTGCCTCACATGATGCTGCAACCTTCAGAAGAATGCCCTTCTCCCTGGCTGAGTGTCCACATGGCTTCACTCCCTGCTCATCCAGGAACTTGGCACACTGCCCTCACCCACCGTCCTGAGGAATGACAGTCAGTGACTATGGTAAGGCATCGACCACGGCTGTATTTCATGTAGAGATCAGTGATGTCTCTGAAGGTGATGAAGCCATCATTGAAACACCAGTCACCAGTGTCCCTCCGACCATTCCCATAGTAGTGGAGCACAGCTGTGTAGATATAAAGAATCTTGCAAGGTTCATAGAATAATATACAGTTACCTCCATGGGGCTTTTTTGCTGAATTTTGGAGCAGAAACTCTATCTGCCCCAGTACGTATTTGCGGCTTAGCTCCATTCCAGGGTTGCTGACTTGGACTGAGAACACATCGTAGAGCTCAGTCTTGTTGTAGAGAGCCAGTAGAGCATCGAGGTTGTTCCACTTGTCTGGAGGTAGTCCCAGTGTTGTCAGTACTTGACTGTCGTTCTCGGACAATTTTGCTTTCTTCAGGGGAATCACATCCTTCTTAGACCATAATGCTTGCCACACACCAGGGTAGTGTAGTTGACCCAATTATCATTACTGCTCTACTCGATCCTGCAACCACAGTGACTTAGTTGGGTACAGAAAAAGCAGCTAATGAACTTACCTTAGACTTAGCAGTTGCTTTGAAAATCCCATCTTTTTCCCTGCCCATCCCACCACCCTCTGCTCCCTCTCCCCTAGTCAGGGCCCACGACTACCCCCACATCCCCAGAATCCCTGTTAGTTCCTCAATAATTTCACTTTCCTTCTGCTGCACTGCATCTTCTTTCTCCTGCTGCATTTCTGCCAGTTCCCTTTTCTTTTCTTCCATCAATAATCCGAACTCTCGCTCTCTCTCTGTCAATGCTATTTGAAATGCTCTCTCCTTTTCTGCAACTATCTGTTGGAATACTCTCTCGTCTTGGAGCCTCTGTAGTGAATTTTCCTCTCGCTCTCTCTCGATCATTTGGGCTAACTCGAGCATGTTCTTTTTCGTGAATTCTTCTGAGGTCTCATCTGCGGCAGACTCCAGGAGAGGAAGAACTTCTTGAGCGCTTGGTCGCTCTCCAGGATTGTCACAAAGACACTGATGAATTGTATCAAAGAGTCGACCCTGCGCTTTTACCTCATCAGGTAGCTGTTCAAGAAAGGCACTTCGTCGCTGAGCTTCAGTGCGGTAGCGAGTTTGTCCGCTTTCTTGGTACTTGACTGGAAGAGGGTCAGGGAAGGTTTGTGTCAGAGTTAGAGAGACACAGAACGCCAAGTGAGAAAACATCGAGGGATTCGTTGTATTCACCTCCCTGTGCTTCGGGAGGCATGTATGCTGCATTGCCAGGACCTTTGGTTAGAGGACCCACGTCTTCCGGAATGAGGCGAGCCACTCCCAGATCTGCAATCTTGGCGACCATGGCTGAATTTAGGAGGACGTTGGTTGCAGTGAGGTCGCGGTGGATGATGGGCGAATCCTGGCTGTGCAGGAAAACCAGCCCTCGAGCAACGTCGCGGAGGATGCAATACCTGAAGCCGAGCGGGATGTGCGGCTTGGTGGGCGAGCGACTCCGCGAGTGCGGGGCAGGGGCAGGAGCAGAGAATGGAGATCTGTTAGTAATAGCTCCGTGACGAGCGCCGGCGTGTCGGAGCCCGGGAACTCGCACACTCCCAGAAACTGCACGATGTGGGAGTGGCGTAGGCGACTCATCAGTTCGCACTCCTGCACGAACTTGCGTCGGTTCTCTTCCACCATTTCTTGGTCAACCCAACCTCTCACCTCTCTTTCTAAAATTCCGTGCATCTTCTTGACGGCGCATAAGGACCCCGGTATCTTTGCCTCCAGTACTTCGCCGTACGCTCCATTCCCAAGGATTCTCCCCGTGGGACGCACTGAGTGGATCTGGTACTGCCGGAGAGCGGAAGTAATTTCGTAGAGCCATGATCGAGACGACAGAAAAGGGGGCGTTCCTCGCTTGCACAAAATGGGGGGTGGGCTGATAAAATAATGCGCATGCGCTTAGCATGTGTTTCACAATGGTGCAAAAATTACCAACACAAATTAGCATAACAAAAATTGTTCATCAAGAAAATGTCTCACAGTTGTATGTCACATTTCATATTTTTGGGCACTTGCGGTGGATAATTGAGGAGCCCGACTCATCATACTCCTGTTTGGAGATCCAGCGCTGTCGGTAGGTGGAGAGGGAGGCCAGGACCGAGCCACCGATCCAGGCAGAGTGCTGCCTCTCTCGGGGAGCCACGATCTTCACCTTGTTCCATCTGGGGCCAGTGCAGATATCTCATTCCGCAGCCTGTCTGCAATGCCGCGGAACATGGTGGAGCCTCCGGATAGGACCGTGTGCGCAAAGAGATCCTTGCGAAGTTCTTCGTCGCACTTCATGACCGAGTTGTAGATCTCCTGGTGGACCCCTGCAATATCGCTGTAATCACTACCCATGAGGTGTGGTTGAAAGTGGGCCTCAGGGGCACCTGAACTGCTCATCATCGATGGTAATTAGACTACCATCTGGAAGCTCGTAGGTCTCCCCCTGGTTGGATTCTGAGGCAGCTGCCTGCTGGAAATCCAGGGCCACGTAGCACAGCTTCTCCTTGATCTCACGCACATCTTTTCGTTGGGCAATGCTGAACTTGTGTCCGATCCTGTTGAGCATGCTCATCAGGAACTTGGTGAGTTGCGAGCCGGCGTAGCCCAGACGGAGGCTAGCGTGGGGAAGGGGCTTTCCCTCCTGGATGGCCACAATGTGGGAGAGACTGTCACCACAGCTGAGTACGACACCAGTGGTTTGACCCGCCGCGTGGAGAGACAAGACAGCCTCGTTGGCCATGAATAGCGACGGAGTGCTGAAATGTTCAAACATGATTTCGGTCGTCTTCTCGCGGTTACCGAGGGAGTTGAACGGATTCTCTGTGAGCAGAACAGGGCACCCTTCAGAGGGAACGTCCATCTTTTTGAAGATGTGGTCCCACACCTGAGGAACATCAATGATATTAATTCCTGATTATGTCAAGAAAAAAATGGACCTTTTTCACATCTTCACCGTCTTTGATATCTCCACTTCCTCAATGGTGTACTTCAGGTAATAAGCTGTGTGCAATGAATCGAAATTCATGCATGATCACCTCCATAAGTCAATGTAGCTACTGCAACAACGATCATTTATTATGCAGATACAGCTAAATGCGGCTGTAGCTCTTCACTTACGGGTTTTGCGAACGGCCTCTTCTCCTGCTGTTTGGCTGAAGTACGAAAGACTTACGACGGGCGGAACCAATAGCGGTTCGTTGCTGCCCGCGAAACCGACTTTGATCATGAACGACCCGTTGTCGAACACCAGTGCCTGTTGCTCCGCATCCATCGGATGATTCCTCTGCTGAAGTGGACGGATTTCCGAGAAGTTTCTTTTGCAGTATATTATAGCTTGCTCCGTTTAGCCGCACGCTGCATGTACATACCTAGCTAGTTAGCTGCGCTCGCTTTTATACTCGCGCCGCCGAGCTGAGCGATGACCCGATGAGCATGCGCGCAATGAGTCGCACACACGGTATTATAATAGCGACGATCAGAAGCATTTGCGGTTCACAATTGCAGGACCAAATTCTTCGTACTCGTCCCTGGATATCACCATCTGTGGAAAAGTCGATAGAGAGGCCAGCATAGACCCACCGATCCATGCAGAGCTACCACCATGAGGTGGAGAAATAAGTTTGAGTCGCATCCGCGGTGGAACCAGAGCCGTCAGCTCTTTTCTCAGTCTGTCAGAAAATCCCGGGAAAAGGGTCGAGCCTCCTGACACCACAATAATTTTACTCATTTCCTCTTCATTGTACTTCATGAGTGAATCATGGGTGATCTCCTGTACGCCTAGAGTGGGTCTACTGTCATAATCATCATTGCCGAGGAGATTCGGTCGAAAGAGGGCCTCGGGGCACCTGAACCGCTCGTTCCCGATGGTGATGACCTGTCCGCCGGGGAGCTCGTAGCTCTTCTCCAGGCTGGAGCTGGAGGCCGCGGTCTGCATCTCCTGCTTGAAGTCCAGCGCCACGTAGCAGAGCTTCTCTTTGATGTCACGGACAGTCTCAAACTCGAATGATTTCGGCAAAGAGTAGCCCCTCTCGTGTAGCCCCTTCATTAGGAAGTAGGTCAGTTCCCTGCCACCGATAAATGAAAATTTGAAGGCGTGGGGAATAGTGTGTCCGTCGTATACGGCGTTACAGTAGGAGACATGGCTCCCGCAGTGTAAGTTGAAGCCAGAGGTGCAACCGGATGCAAAGAGGATCAGCCCAGCCCTTTTGGCGATGTAGAGCGATGGGACTTTGAATGTCTCGAACATGACTTGTGTCATCTTCTCTCTGTTGATTCTTGGATTCCCGGCCTCGGAGATCAATAGAGGGTGATCCTCCGATTTGACACCCAGCTCACTGTCATAGATGTACCGCCAAATCTATACCACATGTGAGAAAAAAAGGAAAAAAGGGGGGATCAGGCAAGATATGAAGGTCCAGACAGAGTCTAGGGGGAGTGTGTGATCCCTTTTCAATTCACACAAACTGCCCCTCACTTTTACTACAGGCTCAAGGTTCAGAACAACACAGTAACAAACAGATCACACCTCTTCCATATCGTCCCAGTTGAGAATGGTTCCACTCTCCACCGGATACTTTCCACTCACTGACGGCTCTTCTGCAAATCACGCACCTACATTTTATACAGTTTCGGCGTCGCTCTATTATAGCTCTATACCTGTACGTCGTTTCAGAGCCTCTTCACCGATGAACACCGTATCGGGGTCCCCCCGGCGGCGACCTACGATGCAAGGGAACGTGGTTGCGGGCCCGTCTCCGCCTGCGAACCCGGCCCTGCACGTGCTGCTGGTGATGTCCATCACCACAGCTGCTGCGGCCCCTACTGCTGCCCGCCCCGCCGCGTTCATATCGCCGACTTCTGTGTCTTCTCGCCTCAAGACAAGGATGCGCGCTAAAGCATGCAAATTAGGGGGAGGGGCTTGTAGAGCGCTTATTAAGGCGCGCGCGTTCATGCTTCACATAGCAAGATGAACAAAGTGATTCACACAATAATGCTAAAAAATCATACCACACAGATCTAAAAAACAGTCTTGAAAAAATTATGCCCATATCTGCAGTAATAAATCAAAGGTGTTATTGTGCAAAGTAGCAGATATAATATTATAGCGAACATTTTGAAGGAGAAAACTTTGCAAAATATAAATTGTACAGGTGTTAATGGAACTTCGCTGGCAAAAACGAAGCTAGGACAAGTGATCTGCAAAAAAAAAAAAATTTCTTTCCAAAAGGAAAAATGGTAACCATAAAGTCTTGGTTAACAAAGTTTTCTCCTTCCTAATGTGCCCCACTAATAACATGCCGACAGTATTATATATACTAGCCTTCAAGGTTCCGTCCCAGCTGCAGGAGCCCAGTGCAGTACCGTCTGGAGACAGAGCCACGTTACTAACTCTGTCTGTGTGGTTCAGCCACATGGCGATATGGGTTCCCTGTGGGACAGTTGTTAGTATATACAGTGAATAGTATACCACTCTATAATGCAACATCTTATGTGTGTCTATGTGTGGAGTTCATTATTATGCATGGTTGATGGTGCAATGTTGTACATGTTGTACTAGTAATTATTCCAAAGTAAGACGGTGCTAGTTTATTCTAGCCGTGGTAGTAACATACCTTGATGACATCCCAGACTCGAATGGCATAGTCATCATATCCACCAAACAATATGCGACCTTAGAGAGAGGAAAAAAGACAGACACACACACACGTAAGGGTTGCCACAATAGTTAGAGGAGAGAGACCAGCTTTCGTCTGGGACTTGGGAGTTGTAGTTGAGTGAGTAGTGTACTGGAAACCCCCGGTTGCTAGGCCTGAGTTTGACTCGCAACAAAAGACCGTTTCTTTCTTGCAGAGATGCCAAGTTCACGTATACAGCAAGCGTATCTAATTGTTTTGTAAACCTACGTAATTCTCTTAACAAATTTCCATAATTTGCCGTAGACGATGTATGGGAGTATAATAGCCAGTGCGATGTCCGTCAAACGCAAGAAAACAGATACGCATGCTTGCCAGCTCTGTTCTGGCCTGCACTAGCAAGTGGTGAGGTTATGACGTGGTGTTCAGAGGTTCTCACCACTCTTGGAGAAGTCCAGGGCAGAGCACCCGAATATGATGCCAGTCTTGGTGTAGAACTTGATCTCCTGATCAGCTCGCAGGTCAAACAGTCTGATCTGTGGTCAGTAAGCAATACATACAGCCAGACAAAAGTCACTCTTTGTAGATGGTCAAATAAGTTTCCTCTAACTACATGTGCACACTACTCACAGTTCCGTCATTGCAGGCGGTCCCAATGGCCTCTCCAGTGGGGAAGAACCTCACGGAGTTGACCTCTCCCTCGTGACCTTCGAACCTCATCACACACTGCCCGGAGCGACTGTCCCAGATACACGCAGTGCGATCACTACTCTGATCGGAGCAGAGAGGTAAGAGGCAAAGAAAAAACTTATATACTTGCTTAAAAATGACTTGCATCAACCCAATTACAACTGGTACTGTATATGTGACAAGAAAAACTTGCACTGTGCCCTACTTTCTCTGGTGTATATGTATATTTGACTTACTGCAGTGGCAAACACAGTGAATGGATCCTTTGGATTCAGAGCCAACCTGTGTGTTTAGAGATGTGTCGTCAACGAGGTAGGAGGGCAAAGGCAAAGCAAACAAGTCAACTATATACACCCAGGACAGCTCTTTATTTTCAAGGAAAAAGAAGAGCTGCCCAGGTGGGCAATGCGAACCCACCACACTCTGCTTTCTAGACGAGTGCTCTAGATAGATGCATACTCGTATATACACAACCCACTGTCATAATCTACTGCTAGTGGTGCTTTCTAATCTAGTGCTAATAGTACTGTATTTGAATAGTGGGTTCAAATCCGATCGTACCCAAGGATATCTGAAGTGTGACCCTGGAATGTCTTGACTGGTTCGTGGTACTCCATGTCCCACATGGCGCACAGTTTGTCAGCTCCTGTCGTCAGGATCTGTGACATACACAGTCAGAGAGAGAGAGAGAAGGGAAGTGTAAGGGGACTCAGGCCAATAATAATGTAGGCCCTGAAGCTAGTTTCGATCCAGTAAAAAGGGGGCTGGTACAATAATAAACTGCAGCAGCTATATACTCCGTTCTTCAAACTGGTCATGAAACAAAATGGCAAATATCATCAACATCCTTGATAGCTTTGTCCACCTTTCATAACGTTTGCCCCATTCCCCCCCACCATGCCATGAAGGGTACAGGAATAAATAGAGTTGGAAGCTCCAACAAGAAAATTGCACAGTGTGTGTGTGCGTGTGTGTGCGCGTGTGTGTGTGTGTGTGTGCTGTGCTGTGGGATAACCCTTTCCTGATACCCTAGACGCATGAATAACCATTAGCAGTAGGAAAGAGGAAGACGCCCAAAGAGCTTACAAATTTCTGTGGCAAGGAAAAGCTTGGGTTCCCAATGTTTGCCATAGTTTCCAGATAAGGAACACTTTAGATGTATAGAGGGCCTCTTCTACAGTTTTATGATGTCATTGGAATGAGGAAAAGTCCAACTCATGAATTAAACCCAGTAATCATTGGAATGGTGACATTAAGGAAAAGGCAGAATTCAGGATGACTGAGTTTTGCTAGTCTTTGAAGCAAGCTGACAACAGGGTGTACTCTCTATATTGCGGGTGAAAGAAGAGGTATGTAATGAATAATTAGGCAGATAAGGAAAAACCAGAAAATAGCACAACTCAGTCAGCTACACCTGTTGTCAGCTTGCTTCAAAGACTAGCAAAACTCAGTCAGCGTGAATTCTGCTTTTTCCTTCTTAATGTCACAATTCCAACAGTTTACTGGGTTTAATTCAGGAGTTGGGAAGAGGTATGTAATTAATGGGGAATAATAATTAGGCAGATAAGGAAAAACCAGAAAATATCACACACACAATGTGGCCCTAGGATTTGTTGAACGAGGGAAGATGAAAGATGTAGTGTTAGTGTATGTTTCAGACAGTACAGCCCATGCCGTTATGTTCTAAATCATGCAAAACTGCTGAATTTGCACCCGCGTTTGTCCCGCCAATGATGCATTCGTTGTATGTGTGATTTGGCCCCCGTGAGCAATTGCAGAGTTTTCTGTACGTGCCTGTTGGTCTGAACCAAAGAACAGGCAGTTGGTGATGTATTTCTGGTGAGCTGATAGAGTCTTCCTGGGCACAGTGAGACGAGGCAGCTGGCTGTCTGTGCTGGTCCGCCCAGTGTCAAGCTGGAACACCTGACAGTCACAACTGGTCCCCCTATAGATAGACATACAACGCATGTATACACGTGTATATACAAGAAGGAATGCTACCAATTTTGGCGAGCAAGAGAGCAGTTCTTTTTTATGTGTGTTTGTTTCACCATCATGTATATACAACATTATGTGCAGTACCGGTCAATGGATCGTGTTACATATCCTGCATTCGCGTGACTAGGCAGGCTCTAGCTTCACTCGCCAATAACACTTTGATTGAAAGAGAGTGGTCTAATTACTCAAACCAAGTGACCCCATCTATGAACACCCAGAGAAAATGTATATATAGAGGCTTAGGGAATGGGGAGTAATGCTAATATCATGATCTGCCCAACACCATAATTGTCCATTGGCACTATCATAATGCATAATAAAGTTAGAGGACTTACCTAAGTATATAGTATGTAAGCCTGCCGGCTACAGTATGTATAGTGAGAGAGGCAAACTGGAATACAAGTGAGGGGGTGACTCACGCGCAGGCCAGGAGAGTGGTGGAGGGAGAGAAACTACAGGCGCACACCCACTTTGAGCTCTGAATGACCATCTCTTTCTGAGCCGTCATCCCGTTCCAGATAAACAGCTGCCCGTCCTTCACGAAAAGGGAGGAACGGTAACAGTAAAGACATGTACATACGACCGTTTGTGTAATATAACTTTTAATGGCCATTTGAGCACTGTTTTGTGTGTACTGTGAAATTTTTAGTTTAGTCCAATGTGTCGTACCCTACCATTACTGCCTCACACATCAGACGCACAAACCTGTCCAGCAGTCACAACATGGCGCTTGTCCGGCGACCAATCAAAGTGTAGTATCCTTCCTCGGTGGCCCTTGAGAGTCTTCCTCACCTTCAAGTTAATCACTGGACTAGTGACAGGGACATCCTCCTCCTTCTGCAAGGTGGCAAATGCTGAAGAGAAGAGCAATAGTTCAAGTTGGATGAAATCGATGGGTGGACTTGCCTTCTGGGCCGACATTGCGTGACCTGCGGAGTCTTAGATTTTCCCTCAAGTCGCGGGCGTCCTTTTGGAGCCTCTGTTGAGCGTCTTCCTCGCTCCCCGCCTCTCTCTCGGGCGACAAAGAACCGTTCTCCTCGGCCATACTAGTTATACCACTCCCGTGTACTCGCGTGCGCACGCGAATGTTCGCAAAGGGTTAAATTTCCACAATAACCCTTTGTGTACTCACCGAAATTTACACGTGCTTCGTGGCGAACAACAGGAGACGACGACGCAGCAGGAATGTTGAAGGTGAAGAGAAAGCTAGTTTTGGAACGGTGTTGTCTAAGTTTTTTTCAACTAAAACCAAAGCAGTAAATAATAATTTGCAAACTGTGAATGCGCGAGCTAAGACTCACTTCCTGTCTTTCTCTGACCGCTATCTCTAGGTTCTAGCGTTCTGTCTGGTGGTGGGGCTGTGTTTACCGCTGGGCCACGGCGGAGCGAACCTCATAGCCTCCAAGACCATCCTCAACGAACACATGGTGGAGGGGAAAGACCTCACCATCAAGTACTCTATTTACAATGTGGGAACAAGGTACGTTTCTCCTCCACACACCGCTTCACTCACACCTTACACACACACTCACACGCACACAGTGCGGCAGTCAATGTGCTACTGGAGGACAGTTCATTTCCAGAGGAGCACTTTGTGATAGAGCAAGGCTTACTGACCACCACATGGGACCGAATACAATCGTATCCTCACTTCCTCTCTCTATCCCTTCCTCCCATCTCCATGTCTTATCTCCCTGTGTGTTTGTCAACCTGTTGTGTTCATGTGGCCGGTGATGTTCACAAGTTTTCCCGTGTCTGAAATTCAACTGTTGATAACTTGCCTTTCCATCTGAGGCCGCATAGAACTAGCACTGTAAACAAACACTCAACAATGCGTCTGTCGGTTGTCTGTCTTTGTTGTTGTAAGTTCCCTGACGAGCTGCTGTCGCATCCAGATCCAGCAATGTGTCTCACGTGGTGGTGGTCCTCCCGAGAGAGGCCGGGGCCTACAACATCTCCTGGGCCAGACTCACATACACATCCGACGAATCCAAGGGAATGGTGAGCTCTATTTAGAACGTTTCTCCGAATTTGCCAACTCTTCCTCTGTGCATTTTTGTTTTTGCTGTTGTTCAGACTGGCTTTACAAGTGCTCCTGGTCCAGTACTAGTGCTGCCATTTGCGGAGTTCTCGCGGAAATACGAAGGACACTTGGTGAGCTAAAAACCGTGTACTCTTTGTGGAAGTTCATTAGCAACACGTTCATGTTGAGCACGGACTTGTTTGCAATCTTTTCTGACACCTTAAAAACCAGCTATACTTCTTGTGTGCACGTGTGTGAGTGGCCGATGATGCTATAAAGTTATCCCTGTCTGAATCCTAAGACTGTGTGGATATTTTATCTCTCTCACTGAGGCGACCAGCACACAAACTGCAGTCTACCCTACTGCATGATACTTTATTGGCTGTTATGCAAGTTTGGCAGCTTCAATTTTTTCGCAGCAAAAATGTTTGTGAGCAGCAAAGCAATGAATCTACTGTCCCCAAAGTTGTTTTTTTCATATGCGTGCGCTATACTGTAGTCACATCTTAATTTTCCTGTGACTGTGCAGATGGAGTGGTTGGCGTTCTTTACTATGAGTGCCCCTACAATTCTACTGCCATTTATGCTCTGGTATCGCTCCTACAGCAAGTATGAGAACATGATGGCTAAGAAACAACACTGATAATATATAGTCTACTGTCGATTATATCACGCTCCACTCTGAATGAATAACGTGTACAGCATACAATGAATCATTCCCTAGGGTTGTTTTAATTTCATAATAGTATTTTTTGGTGTATAATTATACTAAAGTGGAGCGTGGGACGAGAAAAATGTATATACTGGACATATATAGGATTCATTTAACAGAAAGTAAAGATGACTAATAAACTAATGCAGGACAGACATTGTAGTACTCATAGTTCACTTGAAGCCGTCTTCTTTGCCTCCAGCGATACTCTCGATAAGTTGGACTGGAATCCTCCCTCCTTGTGGCGAACTGAGATAATGAATATCTCATAACAGGAAACTAGCAAAATATTTGGCAGTTTTAGAGACAAACTGCGTATTATGTGGGCGGATAGCAAACAACTTTCTCGGTGACATTCTAGTTTGCCACCATGTTTTTTTTCCAGTAAAAGTACACTGTGTAGTGACCACTAGCAAAACAGCTTGGTGATTTTCTGGTGTGAACTAACATGCTTGCCACCCGCAGAGTTATTGTGGATAGAGAGAAAGTACTATAGCTATAATACCTGATTGTCCGTCTTTGGTTATTTCATAGTCTTCATCTTGCAAGAGAGCACCGGAGTTGTCCTGTGGGTGACGTATATAGTCAACAGAGGGTGTGATAATATGCGCACAAACACTTGCAGAAATGGTTTATTGACTTACAAAGACTTCAACTTTCTCCACGTGGTGCTCCAACACTGAGATTGCAAAGCTCATGAAGTACAGGTAGGATGCTTGCTCTGGCCTGCATTGAGCGGACAAAGGAGAGCTTACACACAAGAAAAGACATAGTGAATAGTGACTGACCTTTCTACTTTACACTTGTAATCAGTTTTCCCAGTCTTTTTCATGCTCATGCTCCATTCCTAGACGGCAGAAGAGAGCTTATAGCATGCGAACGGTGCATATGCAGTTCCTACCTCGTTCGTACCACCGACTGCGGCGTAGGTAAACACGCAAGTTACCCCATTCTCCTGCGGAAAGGGACAATATCGGAAATGAACTGATCCCTGAGCACCGCATGACTCACTAGCTTGATTTTCTGGTGCGTAATCTGTCCCGACGGCTTTATATCGAAGCTGAGTGTCTCCAGAAGCTTTTTCTTGCCCGTGCACAAGACTGGCGTGCAGCATATCGCCAGCAGAAGAAGGAGCGGTGCCGTTCTCCTCATGGTTGTGGGCGGGTCCTAGGTCTGCAGACGAGCAGCAATCTCATTGGTCAGTTTTTGGCCTGTTTGCGCATGCGCAGGGTACCATGGAGCTGCTGCAACAACTTTTCTCCAGCTAGAGCTAGCTCTGGTCGGTCTAGTCTGCAGTGACTGGGAAGCCGTTTAGGAGTTTCTGTGCGTCCTTCATCTTTATAGACGTGTACTCACAAAGTTTGAACGAAGCCCGAGCAACTGAGTCGCAATGGCGCATTCTGCGACGTCGGCGACGCAGCATTCGTACCTCGACGTCTTCGGAGACAGACTCCCTTCCCGCTTCCCAGTTCCAGAAGAAGCCGCGGAATCCAGCCGACCTAAACCTGCTGCAAAGTGCTTTATCGAGCCAAGCCCGTCTAATCCCATTCGAGTCCCGCTTCGGAAGAAGGTGAAGTGCTTCTTTACGGACGTGTGGAACACGCGGATATCAATGAAGCTGTTTGGTAGTCGCAAAGAGTTGGAAATGGAGGAGGAGCGACTGCAGAACATCGAATACCTTGTCATTCACCCTTGCAGCAAATTCAGGTCAGGACTGCACACCTATGTAGCTAACCAAGTAGCAATGCATGTCTGCCCTGTGTAGCTTTTTATTATAGATGTACAAAAACTGAATTCTCACTGTATTATGCACAGGATCCTGTGGGACATAGTGATGCTCCTGATACTGTCCATCAACACTGTTCTCCTCCCAGTGGCAGTGAGCTTCTTTCGAGAGCTCATCAACCCTGGCTGGCTCTCTTTCACTTGCTTCTCCGACATGCTATTCATCATCGACATCGTCCTCAACTTCTGGACTGGGGTTATAACCGACGAAAATATCGTCATCCTCGATCTCAGAATGATCCGTCGGATCTACGTGAAGCGGTGGCTCCTGTTTGATATCCTGTCTGTGTTTCCGTTTGACTACATGGCCATCATAATAATAGAGGCTAATTCTCTGAGCGCGGCATACCTTCAGGCTACCACGGCACTGCGGCTACTGAGACTCCTCAAACTCCTGAGTCTGCTGCGGCTCTTCAGAGTTGTCAAACTCATGCACTATCTCGCCAAGTGGGAAGAGGTAAGCAGCCTTTTTCTACCACCTTCATAATCTTTTGTAGATGTTTTTTACTTGGACCTAGAAAGAGAACAGGGTGTACACCAACTTCTGTCGGCAGTTCAGCCCAGGCCCATAACCAAGTCACTGCACTATTTGTTTCCTGTTCCATTTTTATGGTCTAGACTCCACAGAAGTAACTTTTTCTCCCAGAAGAGATTACCAATACATTTTTGTAGAAGACTATTGAAAAGGACCGATTTCTTATTCTTTTGCTTGATGTTTTGTGTAGCTGTTCAATGCCAACTCTCCGATCGCGAGGATCAGTAACTTCATTCTGGGAGTGCTGCTCCTTGCTCACTGGAACGGCTGCATTCAGTTCCTCGTCCCTTTCATGGAGGGGTTTCCCCCTGACTCCTGGGTCTCCATCAACCACCTGCAGGTAGCAGCGTTGTTCCACATTGAGTGTCTGTACATGCATTCTGAGACTGTGCTAACAGATACATTGGTGAGAGGTCATCTATTGATACATATCAGGAGAGCTTTATCACAACGAAATTCTCAAGGCTGCTTGTCCAATGGTTTTCCTACGTTCCTACGTTCCTATGTTAATGTTCGTGGTATATAGCAACTAAACAGCTCACACTTTCACATAGAGAAAGAAGAAAATGACAGAGAGAGGGGCTTCCATACTCATGTTTTACCCATTGAACTTAACCTGTAGGGTGCCAGTGTTGGTGAGCAGTACTCCTGGGCAGTGTTCAAGGCCATATCCCACATGCTGTGCATCGGATTCGGTCGATTCCCGCCACAGAACATCACTGAGGTGTGGGTGACAATCATCAGCATGCTCATAGGGGCGTCCCTCTACGCCATGTTCATTGGACACATCTCTACTCTCATTCATTCTGCTGACTCTTCCAGCAGGAAGTACAAAGAGAAGGTACCACAATATGAGCCTATATTTCATCATCTTGCAAAATTAAATGTGCTGCATTGCATTGAGGAGCAGTGTTTTTAACTTTTTAGTTTCGTGCAGGTATGTACATATATAAGTCTGAATCAATGAGAAGTGGTATATAACTGACTTAAATGCAAACCTTCGATATACTGCACAGCTGGAGCAGGTTGAGGAGTATGCTCGCTACAGGAAGCTCCCGCTGGCCATGAAACAGAAAGTCTATGAGTACTACTACCAGAGGTACCACGGCCACATGTTCAACGAACAAGACATCCTCAATGAGCTCTCACACCCTCTCATGGTGGTAGGTGTCATCACAGAAACATCAACTACAGTGCGGACTAACAAAAAAATAATGACAACGAAAAAATAAAAGGCAAAAATAACTTACAAACAACAAAAAGAAATTAACACAAGCACCGTGTGGCTAGCAGCTACTTTTAACACAAGCCGTCAATCCAGTACTGTTTAATGCTCATTCATCATCTGCAGGAGATTCTGAACTACACATGCCAGGAGCTAATCCGAGTGGTCCCGTTCTTTGCCTCGGCCAGTGAGGCCTTCATTACCTCCATAATTACCAGGGTCTCCTTCGACGTGTTCCTGCCCGGTGACTACGTCACGCAGTACGGGACCATAGGAACCAAGATGTACTTCATCCAGCACGGAGTACTGGACGTGGTAAACAAAGACGGGAATGTTGTTAGCACTCTCTGTGATGGATCCTACTTTGGAGGTAAATGGAAGTTCAGTATTGCTAGTTTCACTGCTCTTATGCTTGCTTTGTTGCTCCTGTCTTTTTCTCGTCTATGCACAGTTTGCTCGCTAGTTTCAGTTGGCAACAATTGTTCATCTATGGTACCTTATGAATATAGTGTAACACTATTACTCTGGGCAACAGTGGTACAGAATAATATTGTGCTCATAATATGGTGTCTTTAAAATTGCGTGCAACAACTGCTGTTGGCCAAGATGTGCTTATTAGAGAGGTGTCCTCGTCAATAAAATTATCAGGGTCGTCCTTAGAGAGGGGTTCCACTATAAGGAGCTCAATGATGCAGTAGGTCATGCAGTTCTCACACGTGTTGTAATATTGTGTAAGACCCCAGAGTACCTCTTCTCTCTCACTGCTGTTGTATATAGAGATCTGTATGCTGTTCAAGTGCCGCAGAGTGGCCAGTGTGAAGGCAGTCAGTGTGTGCGATCTCTACTCCCTCGACTGCAACGACTTTGAAATGATCCTCAAGAGATTCCCCAAGATGAAACAGGTATTACATAACACTTGTGTACATGTACAATAGACAGCATCTTGGCCTTTCCTTGACAAAAAATTGTATTTCTTAACTGCTTTCTCTATGTATGTCTGTGCACTGCTTTTTGTCTAACTGTCTCCCAGTCACTAATAAATCTAAGCAGGACTCCTAAGCTGTTTTGTTGTGTCATCTCTCGCCTGTTAAAAGCAGCCCCCTCCGTTGCAGACGATGAAAGAGGTGGCGGAGGAGAGACTGGCACATCTGAGGGACATGTACGGTCCCGGCTGGATGGACAGCGAGGACAGCAACGTGGACTTCAACCGACTCAGCTCCGTCCAACTCGTCAGTTCCCGGCAGTCGCGGACACGAGAGTATCTGAGAAAGATGGAGGCGACGCGATCGGAGCCCTATCACGCCAGAACTGACGGTGAAGGTGGGGGTACCCGCCGGAGCTTCGGGAGCTATCGGAGTAGGTCCAGTGTGGGGGGCGTGGCAGGTGGGGGGAGGGGCCTCCGGGAACCGGCCACCACCAGTCGACAGCTGCAAGCATCGTCAGACTCTGTTGATATTGATCTTCCCATGTTCACAGAGACTGAAGACATTGTATGACCACAACATGTATGTAGCTAGCACCGCAGTACTCCTAATCAATCCCTCCTGTCAAATACCACCACAATCTCAATGTGAACAGCTCGTTTGGACAACTCTACGGCACATACACACACCCTGTAAGGCTAACCAAACAAGTACGGAGCCCA